ATTAAAATTCTTCAAAAACCACACATTCATTGCCGGATAAGTCGAACATTAATAATTCAGCTCAGAGTTATTAACCTTGTAAACAGTGTTTGCGCTTGGCTTGTTTCATGCCGAACCAAATGTAAAAGTCTGAACAGCAGAGTGAATATAGAACTGAATGTTCAGGTTATGCACTGAATGTCAACGGAAATGCTTCACACATTAAGGAATGCACCAACATGCGATGCAGCAATGCAACTGCCCGGCTTCAGGAAAAAGTGAACCTGTCTGAAAGGCTACCACTGAAACAGCGTAGAGTTTGGCCAAATAGATGGCTATTAACGGTGTAAATGAGGAGAAACATGTAATGACAGGACCCCTGAGTTACTGATGAGGGTGATGGATGGCTTTCAACTCAGATAGATGGCAGTTCATCGCTCAACTCAGACACAAACACACATGCAAACACGTTCATGTGGTGTATCTACTCAGAGTGTGTCACACACTCACTTGTCTCCCTTAACCTTCTGCGTATCCGCTCGTGCCGTGTGCACTAACCGTTCAGCGTTCCATCAGCTTGGAGAACTTACACCACTTTCTACACAACATTCACCACTGCTCTGATGAAATAGGGATGCCCACGCTCTCAGCTCTTTTTGATAACTAGCCCAACTAGTAGCTATCAACTGGCGAAGAGATTGATAATTGCTCGACCGTCATTTCCACTCTGCATGCCAACCTCGATGTCGACAGCGAGTCACATGAAAGCTTCTTGTTTTCCTCTTACTCATCTGGTCTTTACCCTGTCCTTGCTCTGCTGTCGAGGGAACAGCATGGGGCAGAGAGGTGCTGGGTAAACAGTGCTCCAGCAAAGTGCTTTTTCCAGGCTGCGTATACCTGGGTAATAGAGGCAGTAATGGGGTTTGTTCAGGCTAAGGTAATCCTGGAACTGTGAGCGCAGCATCTGATGCGTTTCTCTCCTCGGCGCCGCTATTCTGTTCCACTGCGGGCGTTGATGTTGTAGCAGCTGTCACCGTTACTGTCCCGCACAAGCCATTTGGCAGGAGCGTAAAGTGTGTACATATCTGAGTGAACATGTATTTGCTGACAAAAGCATTGGGTGCATGAAATAAATGTATGTGAGCATCCTGCAAAATTTGCAGACTGTTTATTTGGTGAAACACAAAGGCGTCAAAAGAAACATACACAATATAGACCATCAATTGTTGTAACTCTCCTTGGGATGGAGGATAGTACTGGCAGCTTGTAACAAATCTAGAGGGTCAGTTTTGCACCATTTTTTCTATTTTTTCTATCAGTGTCTTTTCCATACTTCTTCTCTACTGAATGTATCCCTGTCTCTGTTTCTGATTCTTGCAATCCTAGTAAAATTTTTTTCATCTTGCACAGTCAATATAGACTTCATGCATCTCCATTCAATTTCTATTTTCTTCTAGTTGATTTTTTGCCTTTGCCCCTTTTAGTTTTCATTTTGTGTCCTCATGTGTCCTCCCCTGAACTGGTGCTCTGTCAATATTTCCATGGCACAGAGGTAGAAAACATGGGCAAAAGACAAGAATGAGAAAAACAAATGTTCATGTGATAAACGTGCACATGGACATATAAAGAGATGCAAATACTTGAAAGTATTGCAGTGTTTTAATGTAGTTATTTATGATCAGCATGTGCTTGTGGTCATTTTGACTCTAGGACCCAGATCAACGTGTGGTTTGGCTGATCTCTATATCTAGAAAGTCTTCATTTAGGTTAAGTGCTGGGGTCATGCCCACTTTACAAAATTACAAATGAATAGACTTAAGTGTGTTATGTTGCACTTGGCATCAAAAATTATTTTCTCCAGTAATCACTTGTGATCAGATCTCACATCCCTGATGCAAATATAGAGAAGCACATCCAGCTGTTGGTAAGAAGTAAGCTATGTATAGGTTTGCTAATATCCCTGAAAAGCCCGGATTTAATTTGTTGACTTATTGTAAACTGCATCTCAACCAACAGCATCCAGAATGTACAGATTATGGAGTTTTTTCAAGCAGGGAAAAGATTATTGCATCCCTGGGTATTTATACATTTCTATGGATTGTGGGTGTTTGCATTTATGCCACAGAATGAAACAGCAATCAAACTTAAAAAAATGAACATTTGATTGCTCTGATTTGTTTTCTTTTTTTCCTGTCAGTATCAGCAAGCTTCAAGAACGCTCAGTTGTTTGCAGTGCATCTTTGTCTCCCCAGATGATTGAAGCGGGACTTAATTATTGAAGTTTGAATGCTGTGTTTACAACTAGGAAGAACTATTACTGCTCTACAACTTAAAGTTAACAGGCTTTGAATGCCAAGTTGCAGATTAAAAGTGAGGCTCTTGAGACAGACTGTCAAAAATGTAACTACTGCCCTAATTCCAGTCCCTAGAAAGTTTTTTAGTGGTCGTAGCATCATTAATGAATCAATAAGCTAAAGATGAGTCCAGGTTAAATTAACAACTGTAATTCAACACACATTTGTTTCAGGTGGTTTATGATCTACATCTGATACATTACTTTTTAACCCCATGGTTTCATTCTGGACTTTTTCCTGTGCAGAAAAATCAAACAAATTCTGGAACACTGGAAACCACTCAGCATTTAAAAAGGGATGTTAGTGTTTCTAATGCAGGCATTGATTGTGTGTGTCTCTGTGAATCCCTCCCACTGATTTTTCATGTTCTCTGTTTAAAATTCCAATTCTGAGGACCAGACAGAGAGCTCAGTTTTAAAATGTATACTGCAGGGCACAAACCTGAAATGCTTTGCTTAAAGCCACATTCTTGCTGCATAAATGAACACAAACAATGCCCAGGACATTTTAAGTAAATGATGCAGCCTCCGTGTATATTCATTTCCTTCATATCCACTGAGAAGATCTGCTTTTAAAGATGCATTCATGTTCAATTCAATGCAGAAAAATGGCATATCTCAAACAATCATGCAGCAACATTAAAGTAAATCAGCCTTTATGGAAAGTGTAGCCAGTTTAGGCCTGATTGGTGCCAAAGTGTCATTTTAGAGAACTCCATCCCAAATCATTCTGAAAGATTTTAAGTTATATCTAATGATGACAAAATAAGCAGTGCGAACTTGCCCGTTGTAGCAGCCCAGAAGATTATGTCATTTTAGAAGAAATAAAGTGTAAAATGCAGAGAGCAATAAAGTCAGTGCAGACATGAGGTCAGTGCATTAATAATAACTGAGGACTCAGTGAACGAAAGCAAAACAGTGAGAGTCACTGAGGTTATGCAAACATGTTGAAAAATACATTGACAGTATGGTATACTGCACTTTATTCTGCTTAATACAACTTAGAAATGAGTTTGCAACTGTAGAGGAGTGTAGGCCAATCAAATCAAGTGAATCTTTGGTTGACCACAATCTTACTTTTTCTATGACATCAAACCACGCATTAAACACATTCATGACTGCCCAACCCTACAATCACTCACACAACCATTTGTGTTCTTTCCAGGTCAACCATCCTTATGTATTTCAATTTTATCTCACATTGGAGGACAATATAACTCAGTTGAAATTAAACCTTAGGCTTCAGAAAGAAGATATTTGTTGTAAAATGCTTCCTAAATCACATGCTGCGAAGAAGATTTATCAAATTAGACGCAGTTATGTAACTGAAATAAGATCATACATATTTAACGAAATTACTTGAGATAAAATTCTGACACTCCATTTCCTGCTGACATGAACTTAATTCTCATTTGCTCCTTCTTTTGCTTTCCGCCCTCTGTTTTAACCTCTGCTTGTAATATGACCAGACATGCAAAATTGTTTATTGAATAACTTGACCAGTGATTAATATCCATCAGTGGGAACATTAAATATACATTTGAGGGCCATTTCCAGAGCAACCAGTGAGTGACCACAGATTTGTCTTTTATGTATTCAAGCGATTCTCCAACAACCTCGGATATTCTTTCCCATCACCCCGCCCTGCATCATCCTCCAGTCAATGTGGCCTCACTTCCAGCTAATTGTGTATTTCCCCTAACTTCTCCACCTGCTCGCCCCATGTGCTTTTCTCAAATGCTTAAGAAAACATGTCAAAAGTGTATTCACAGTTAAGAAAACCACGTTTGTTTAGATCAAATCCCTGGACTTGATTCTCGGCCTTCACGGTAAAATCACGTTCTACTCAAAGCCTCCACTCTGCTGCAAGAAGGCTGCCATCCTAACCACACAAAAAAAACACATCAGCTTCCCCGACACATCAGGTGATGCTGCTGCTGCGCACCAGACACGCACGTGCTCTCCTTTTTTCGCATCTGCGTGTGGTGCCAAATGTAATTCTTCCCAGATAAGACAGATTGCAACTATTTCTTAACAAGAAGAGTGAAAAAAAAGTGGTCATGTCATCTGATCGTGCGTTAGGCTACCACTTAATTACTTGTGCAATAAAGCAGAATCAACATTTCAAAACAGGGTTCATTTCGTAGCATCAGTTGGCCGTAGTCGTTTAAAAAATCACCTGCTCTGCTCAAGCCTGGAAACGTTCAGCTACCTGCGCACCCCGAGCTGAGGACGTGTGTGCGCACACTGGGGTGTGTGTGTGTGTGTGTGTCTGAGAGACAGAAAAAGGGGAGGGAGGCAATCTCATAGGCTGTGCAACACCTGAAACAACCGCAATCATCTGTCTTCGCTCTAAAATCACACCCGTGTTAATGCCACTGATTCCAGCCCGGGCTGTGGGAGGTTAAAGCTTTTGGGAATAAGTCTAGAGCCCTCATAAAATCTCTCCTTTCTTCTCCATCTCCTAATATTAATCGGATGAAGTGCAGGCTAAACCATTTCGTGCGTAAATGACTTTAAAATGCGAGGCAATCACTACATAGAGCCTACTATCGCATTCGTAAGCATGCATTTCCGATGGGCCGTTCACTTTTACGCTCAGTTGGCACGCAGCTCGTCAGAAGACCAAGTATTAAAACCTCTTCTACTCCAAGTGTGAAGGCTATACCTGTTGGTGCGGTGTGGTCTTGTTCTGTCAGCCCAGCAGGTAAACCTCTTTCCTCATTGCCACTGCGCTTTCCGAGATGGAGGAGACGCTCGCATCCCTTCTCCACAAGCCCAAAGCTGCTCCTCTCTCGCTCACTGGCCGCTCAGGTTCTACTGGAGCGGAAAAGTTATGCCATACCATCCACACCTCCGTAGCTGGGTGACGGGGGGAGAAAAAGAAAACTGCGGCTGACTGTGACCTCCCAGGGTAAAAAAAACAGCCCAACTGCCCCCGCGACTTCTCCAGTGCCAAAGGTTTCCTGAAAGTTCCGCTCCTCCCGTCGCGCTTTTGCCTTTAAAGTTACTAAACCATGTCGACCGGAAGGAAACGTCCGTTTTGGGATTTTGTTTTGCAGTCTTCTTGTTATCCTCTTTGAAGAAATTAGCGAGAAATTACCCTGGAAAGGGACGGAGGTGCTATTCGGTTGGGGAGGCACGCAGACTGTTGTTGCGCTCCTGCTTGTCCTGCCTGGAAGATGGATCATTCTGCCAGGTCTGAAGCGGAACAGCGCCCCTTAGCGACCTGATGAGGATACCAGCTTCACTGACAGCAGCATGGACTAAATATAAATGATACGGTCACTAATGGAGAGCACCATATGGGCTGCGTAAAAACATGTTGGATATATGATGTTAGTCACCTCCCGTCAGTGTAGACCGGCAGTCATAGTAACGCATCAGCATAAAACATAAGACACATGCATACAACTTCAGGTGGTGGACTCACAAATGTCTGAGCCACATCATAAAGGACTAAAACAGTATTGTACGTGTGTGCCTTTTTCTTTCAGTCATGACAAGTTCAAATGAAACTGAACTCTCTTTAGCTGAGTTGCAGGCATTTCTCAGTAGATCGAGACCTACAGGAGCTGGAGCGCAAAGGGTGTATGACACCAAACTGACCTTTTTCCGTGCCGGTGTGTGTGTGTGTGTGTGCGCGCGTGCAGCGCGTATTTGTGAATGTGTGGTTTCCTCTGGCTGAAATGACCTGAGCTGCCCAAAGAAATGTACTCACAACAAATGACTTTGCCCAGACTCTGTTACTCTGGGCACTGCAGTTCTTTTTGGGAAACAGGCCTCACTGGTTTTTAAAGTGTGACAATTTGTGCAACTGTACTTGTACATGTACGGGAGTGTGTGTTTTTGTGTGTGTGTGTGTGTGAGAGAGACGGAGGGACAGAGAGAGAGAGCAAGAGTGCAGTCTCTCTTTTGCTGGCTGCAGAAAAAGATAGACAGAAATTGGGATTAAGGCCATAGAAGTCTAACAACAAGGAACCTGGTCACAGGGCACAACACAAGGTACAGACACACAATCCACACACATACATAAACACACATATAGACACGTAAATTCATACATATGTGTGTGTTAGTGAGATGTAATCAAGGTCATGATGTATGGTTGCACACACGGATGACAGGAAAATTGATCCATAGAGGGGGTGTGATTGTAAGGAGGCCCTGTTGCCACTCATATATCATTTCACCCAGTGAGCTAATCTGTTACTCTGACAAGAGTTCAGATTACTGATCTCTCCTATCCTCTCTGTTCTCTTTCTTGAACCGTCAACAGCCTGTCTTTTTCTCTTTTTTTCTGCTTTTTTTGCCTGTCCACTTTAAATTCTAATCCTCAGATCCATTCGCAACATCTTAAAATATGAATAACAGTTTTAAATTGTTGTTAAGTTATCTTTTTCTTGTACCCAACTATGACTAGTGTATCTTGGATAACCTGGATAACCTCAGCAGGGGATTCATCCTCTGCACTGTTCGCTGGCAGCACATTTGAACTAAGCATGTGGACAGCGAGATAACAGAGATTCACATGCATGCAAGATCCCATAACTGCTTGGAAGCCCTCGAAAATCAACCCAATTCATTTGGGAGATGTGGCATTTGCTCATGCTCGCCCACACAGGAACACATTTGTACACACACACACACACACACACACACACACACACACACAAACACACACTCTGCAGTTGGTGGCCTCCCAGTGACACAGGGGGGGATTTAACATCTGCCAATCTGAGACCTTAGTGCATTTCTGTCACAGAATAGATAGTCATTTCCCTTAGAGTTAGGCTTTACAGATCACATACAAGCCTTGGGGATGTGTTTTTGTGGTTTGTCACACACCAGCGCACACATACACAGCCATGTGAACACAATAACTGAGCAGCTCAGAATAGTCCAATCAAATTCATTTGTCATACATTTCCTTCAGTCAGCACACTAAGTCAGCTGAAATGGAGACAAATGCAGCAGGACCAGGAGATAATCCTCACAGACGTGAGGATTTTGCCACATGGCTCAGCAGTAATGCTTATAATCATCAGAGCAATTAATTATAGTAGACAGTGTTCTGTTTGGCAGCTGTCAATTGCGAAACCTCCAAATAAAAAAGTTATTCTTAATTAAATTTGTAAAGCTGAGGACATTTGATTTTCTATTTTTGTTCATCTCCATAAATCCGATGAAAAGACAAAATATGTCTGTATGCTTACTGGCTACTACTGAAGACTCAGATTGTCGTTGAGCTGTTCAGTCTAAAGCTTCACTGTTTTGGGTCACTGTCGCTGCTTTTATAACAATATCTCATCAGAGAGATAAGCCCCAAATAGCCAATGGGAAAGGTCAACATGGTGAAGCATCTACTCACCCAAAGTTACAGATTTTCCTTCGAAACTTGGTTTAGACCATAACCATAGTGCAGATATTGCTTGAACATTTGCCAATACGGGTAACACGGATGTGTGGTTGCCTCACAGTCAGAGGGTTCTGGGTTCAAGTCCCCGGGGGAACCTGGACCTTACTGTGAGGAGTTTGCATGTTTTTCTTTGTCAGCGTACCAAGATGTACAATACAATATTGTGTAGCTTTCACATTAATGTCCAGAACAAATTGAAGTATGTACATGCTTCTAAGCCCTGCCAGATGACTCTTAATACCTCTCCCATGTGACACCTCACTTGAAATGAATACACCTAAACACACATGCACAAACAGAAAGAAAAGCTGTTTGTAGTGCTACACTGGCAGGCAGGAGCAGCTCTGGCATGTGAAAAGACAGCAGCCGAAAGGTTTGGTGCTACTCTTGCTACTCTACTGTTGTGTTATTTATTTTGTTGGCAGTTACCTCACTGTTTCCTTGTGCTCTGTCTCCTGTCTTTCCCTGTCCATCCTTCAGATAACTTTGCTATATGTGCATGACAACTGGATACCCATGACAAATTATTCTGACAAATATGATTCCAGTTCCTAATGTATGGGCTTCCCTGTCAAAGTATCTGTGATAAAAAAAAACATCATGTAAAGCTCCAGATCTCGAAATCTCTTTACTCACTAATTAAAAAAAGTTCTGGAGAATTTGGATTTAAGGTTGAATTTCTGCTGCTGTCAGTGTAAAATAAGTTATTGTAGATGCCTTATCACAGACAGTGTGTTCAGTTGAAAGACAAAGCTGCGCTCAGCCGAGAACACTTTATCTCAGTTAGCAGCAGGGTGCAACCCACCATCTCAGCGCTCATCTCTTGTCTGGTTGGCTCTTTTTTCCCAAAGATATAAATGTTCAAACAGATTAATTCCTTCAAAGCCATGATGAGCATGGAGGACTGGTCTCCACCCTCATTCCTAATTGATGGCCTTGCATGGCAGGATGAAAGCTGGATGAGTCTTGCTTCAGACTCTCATTAGCGACAACTGTGTTACATTTAGCTCCATTAAAATTGCATTACACAGATTCGAGACACACCTTTCACTCAGCCCTTTCAGACTAATTTGTTAACTTTATTGCAATTTACTTTACATGCGAAATGAGTTCCTCTACCAAAAAGCCTCTTCTTCATTGTGAACAAGTGTAGATTTAAAAAGAACGATAAATGTGATGTTATCAGAAATTTGATTGGATGATAAAGGACAGTGCAAGGCACTCACATGCTTCTGTGCATATGCTCCAAGCCACACCTTTTATCCATCCATCCATCCATCCATTTTCTGAACCATTTATTCGTGGGGGGACCGGAACCTAATCCAGTACTCAATGGGCGAGAGGCGGGGTACAGTCTGGACGGTCCACCAGTCCATCGCAGGGCCACACAGAGACAAACAACCACGCACACTCACTCCTAAGAGCAATTTGGAATGTCCAATCAACCTAACGTGAAGGTTTTTGGACTGTGGGAGGAAGCCGGAGAATCTGGAGATACAGGGAGAACATGCAAACTCCACACACAGGGGTCCTGGTTCCCCCAGGGAATCGAACCCAGAACCCTTTTTGCTGTTAGGCGATAGTGCTAACACCACACGTTTTACCTTCCTGTGAATGTTCAAACCCTAACCGAGCGCTTTTCTCCTGGGAAAGCAAGTGAATGCCAGCACGTTACTGCAGGCCCCTGTTAAACATCAGTCTTAAGAGCAATATGACATTATGACTGACAAGAATTCACAAACGTACTGGCAGCACCTGGACATCATCCAGGGATGGCTGCTGGGTTCTGCTGTCGAAAAGGACACCTGTGATCGTCTGCCTGCCCTGTGGTCAGTTCACTGTGAGGATAGACGAGCAGCTTCAAATGTGGGACAAAAAGCACATTAAATATCCCCACAAGGAGGTGAAAATAGCTTTTTACCTCACCAGAATGATTTTTTTCTGCAATAGGTTTAATAAATAGTAAATGTTATGGGGTAGCATTTCTTTTTATGGAATTGCAATTCAGCATTTGGGTGATTTTAAAAGATATGGATACAGTCATCTAGGTTTCTGGGTTAAAACTTAATTCTTTCTCATATGTGAAAATGTTGAGGCAGTACAAGCTGACCATTTGGTACTTTTAAAAGCTGTAAGGTCTATCCAGCATTAGCAGCACAATATTATCTGTTAGGCAAACCAAGCCAAGGATTTATTTACATTTACATCCTTTACATGTAAGAACAGTCATTGAGACAAATGTGAAAACTCTCATTTGGGCAGTTTGAATGAATATCATAATTAAAATAAAAGGAATGCACATATTTTGATGATGACTTGGCAGTTTTCCAATATTACATATTAGATTACAAAATATGTATAAAGGTACTGTCTGTATCCTTCAGTTGCTGCACCAGCATTCCAGACAGAGTGCGGTACATGATGTATTGACTTGAATACAAAAAAAATGCTATCAAATCAAACACATTGGCAGCTTTTTGTTTGCCATTCTCAATGCGCTGTGATATTCACAGTAACAGTGCAATCTTTCTTCCTACACACAACCAGATTTTTTCTTCATGTATTGGAAATATGGACATGGACATGTAACCCATGTTTTGTGTATTGTCTGCAGTGTTCAAGTGATAAATTAAACCCATAAGAGCCTATACAGCTAGCTGAAAGAAAATTAAATACATGTAGCAGAGGAGAAATTTACATTCACCCTACTCTATTCATACCATTCCAGTGCAACAAAAAAACCTCATAGTCTACCATATTTAAGTCATGGCCAAGATTCCAGAATAAATTGGATTTTTATTTTGCATTTGGTCTCTCTTTTGTTGCATTGGAGGGCTTCAAAGTTCTTTAGAAGATAAGTCATTCTGCAATCACTATAATTGTGTGGTCATAATAAATCATCAAAATGTTTTCCCCCTAAAAGCTCTGGTCATGATGTGAAAGGACAAAGTGGCCAAAATCTATTTTTAAAATTCCATTTTTCAAATACAAACACATTGTGGTGAAAAATGCATGTAGTTAATATTCTGAATAGCAGCTTCCCCATATCCAACGGATTCTAATGAGGGCACGAAATTAGCCATGCATCTTATATTAAAGTAAAAAATTAAGACAACTGTGTCACTACTTGATGTTGTGTTCTCAAATTAAATCAAGACTGCAGTTTTTAAAAGCATTTGACAATATACCTGCTTTGCTTCATCCTTAAGGAACACATCTGAAGGAAGTCAACCAGCAACTGAAAAATTACCCAAAAAAAATGCACAACACTGCCATGTTTTATTGCTCTTTTGTTGTACAATTCCTCAGCCAGCAAACCACTGTGATTTTCACTTTGAATTTATGTCACCCCTTGAATTCAGTCCACTGAGCCTAAAACTCTGAGTCTTATCGTTGTCAAATTATATAAAAACCCAGTGGATCAACTATAATCAACTAAATACTGTTTATGTGCAGCTTTTCATCAGACATGGTGACTGTCTGCCCTTTGAGAGAGCCTGTTTCCAGAAGGTCACCAGAGGTGATGAAATGGTGGTCAGGCAAAGGCTACAGGGCAGTGGGTGTTTTAAAAATAACATGGAGAGCTTGCTTAAAGATTCTGGCCCAGGAGCACCACTGAAAAGTTAATTGATTTACCTTATGTTTAAATTTCAGATCTAGATCTAGAAAAAAAAGAGAAAAAGATCACAAGATGTCCTCACTCTGATGGTCAAATAATGTTGGCTAAATGTGTTCATCAAGCTGTCGTACTATAGCTTTATCATAAAACTTAGTGTGACCTCTTGATAAGTTCAATTTCAACATCCACTGAAAGCTTATTTTTGGTCTTCTAACGACATTTTGGTGTCCCTTTGTTGATAAACGCTGCACAGTCTTTACCAGCTTAAACCTTTTTCTGTCTGACATTTACTGCTAATCAGGTAGAGTGTAGAGAATTTTTTTTTTTCTCAAAGCAACCATGTTCATGGACAAAAGCAATACTTACTACAATGAGAGAAAGCAGGACAGTAAAGTCGTTGGCCAGAGTATAAAGTCAGATAAAACACAAGATGAATTTATAGAATTTCTAAATTCTCAAATATTTAACATTGCCATTTTAATAAATTATATGGTCTGACTATTCAATTGTACATTGATCACTGAAAAGGTGCCTGTTTATTTTAAGAAAGACAAAGACACCTTTTCGTTATACGAGTCACTTTGGAACAAGAAGATGACACCTGATGATGATATCCACGTGTGGATGGGAGTCGGTTTTCCTGCATGGAGAATGAGATGCGTACCAGCTGGTAAGCTCTCATAGTGCAATTAGAGAGGGTGCTACGAAACTTTTTAAAATATTCAGTGGTAAATGTGATTGGACAGGGCACAGCTTTGTTTTGGGACTGCACTTCTAAATTGCAGTTGTCCCACATGGGACTAAAAAATTTGAAGAGAGAAAATGGGTCATTTTTTCTAATTTACAGCAGTGAATTTAAAGGTAAAAAAATTGTGTCCCCATTCCTGTCATTTATTTTCCACTGTCTCATCTGTGTTTTGTCTGCTCAGCACCAATAAAGTGAGCAGCAGGACCACAGGGTTATGTTCACAATCTGCTGAGCACAATGTGACACAGGCCTTATAATGCAACAGGCACTCATAATCCAAAATCTTTGCAGGAAAAACAACGCCCATAAAAATCTGGGATTACATTGTTCCACGCCACCAGTTTGCGGATAGGACTATCTCTCACTCCTTCTTCCAATCTTTTTTAATCCTTTCTCATTCTCAGTTTTCTCGTTTCCTCTTTCCTACTCTAAATCTCATAAACAGCTTTAGCTCTTATCAGGATAGCATTGGGGAAAAAAAGTAGGTGGATGAAACTGTTTTCCTGCAAGCACATTTGTTCGAACTATGCTGAACTTTAAAACAGTCGAGGAGAATTAGGGGGGCAGAGACTCAGAGGGGCAGGAAAAAAAATATCCTTTCTGAGGCTTTAGAGACTGTTTTTTGACTTGTTGAAAAGTATTATCAGATACTGTGCGCTTAACCCATGCCTGCATCAGTCACCCGGCTGCACTGTGGCTCAGTGTACATAAGCTGGATTAGAGTGTCTGACACAAACAAAAGCACAGATGCACGCCTTTGGCTTTTCATATTTGAGCAGCACAGCTGGATATCTGGTCCGAGTAAAAAGGGATCAAACTTTTACTCTACCCTCTTAAATTTTCTTTGGAATTAATAGAATATCTATCTATCTATCTATCTATCTATCTATCTATCTATCTATCTAT